CAGCATCTTTCCAGGTATTGAAGTTAGGTTGACTGGTCTATAATTCCCAGAGTTCTATTTGTTCCCCTTTTTATAGAAAGAAACTATGTTTGCCCTTTCCCAGTCCTCTGGGACATCACCCATCCTCTATGATTTCTCAACGATAATTGCTAATGGTTCTGAGGTTGTTTCAGCTAGTTCTTTAAGTACCCTAGGGTGAATTTGGCAGGCCTTGATGACTTGAATACATCTCTCTTATTGACATATTCTATTTTATTCTAAATATTCTCTAACATATTCTGTCTGTTCTTTGCCCATTCTGGCTTGTGTTTCTTCCCCCTTGTTATTAATATTCTGTTAAGCACCTCGTCAAAATTAAAATTTTTATTGAAGACTGAAGCAAAATAGACATTAAACACTTCAGCCTTCTTGGTATTGTCAGTTATTAGCTCTCCTTCCTGCTAAGTAATGGACCTACACTTTCCTTTGCTGCCCTTTAGAGCTTTGAGGGAATCTATACTTTCCGTGCGATAAACAATAAGAATACACCAATCCACTGTAGGTTTCAGAGTAGCAGCTGTGTTAGTCTGTATCAGCAAAAAGAACAGGAGTACTTGTGGCACCTTAGAGACTAACAAATTTATTAGAGCATAGGCTTTTGTGGGCATCTCATGAAAATGGAAATGAGAACAGATCCAAATGGTATAATAGATGTATGGATTTCATGAGTTTCACAGTGTGCCACCTATGAAGAAATAGTTGAGAGATTGAGAAATAAAATAACACAACTTTCCAAAAATTTTTGAATCCTTGGCTTGATAGTAGTTTAGATTATTTTCTGCACTCTTCTTCATAAAGGGCTGATGTTTCAATATGGTATAAGAAATAATTAATAAATACTTATTTGTATTACTGTTGTGCCTAAGAGCCCTAGCCCATGACCAAGACCTCATTGTGCTAGGCATGGTACAAACACAGAACAAATGATGGTCCCTGCGCTAAACAGCTTACCATCTAAATAGGTAGGTGGAGATAAGCAATGAAAGGCTAAAATTTCAAGACTGATGCACAGTATGATATTTAAAGATGAAAATTACAGCTCTCAGACAACTGAAAGCAAAAGAGGAATGGACTCATATCACAATATTTCTTCTAACTTGATTTTCTCTTAACCTCTATCTAAAAGGTATCACATAACTAAGGAATCATATGCAAACTGGTAACATGCTGGTCATTGATATTATTGCATGGTATATGTGCAGGTGATATGTGAAAAGTTTTAAATATAGGTTGGAAATATATTCTTAAAGGTATTTGGAGGGTAAGGTTTAAGTCATTTCACCCTAGACAAAGGAATGTGGTCCTGCCTGCTTGAATGTGTCTCCAATGTAAACGGAACAAAGACACAATGAAAGTATATTTACATAAAAAGTAAACAAAGTAATCAAACGAGTGAGAGGAGGGAAATAGCCACTCAATTATCACAATGCAGGAAGGACATTGCAAAAATTAACATGGTATCAGCTCTCTGGCGGATACAGCAAGCTGAGCCCCCAGGAGGGCTTCCTGACTTGGAAAACAAAGATAAATGTTGAGGATATTAGCAGAGGGAGAGAGCCATTTTGGCATCCTTTACCTGAAGAGATAAAAGAACCAAGTGCTTTGAGTTCTGTGTTGGATCCTGGCCAAAGACTGTCCAGCTATGCTGGAAGAACTGTGGTGAGAAAATTAGTCTGAAAAAAAGAAGACTAAAACCTATTTATTTTTGTTTGTTTGCAACAATTTCTATCTCAATTCCTTCTACTTGGTATCACTTAAATATCTGTTCTTTGTTAATCAGCTTAATCTTGTCTTATTACACAACCATCTCAGTGCAGTGTTCCAAAGTGAAGAGTAAAATCTTCATCTGAACTAATAGATTGGTGCCATGTACTGTCTCTTTAAAGGAGCAGCGAACTCGATACAATTTTCTAAGTGATACAGTGAGACAGCCTGAGCACAGCAGAGGAGATGGTTTGGGGGAGACTCAGGACTGGAGGGGTTCTTGGTGTCACCCTGCAAGGAGTAACCAGGGATGGTGGAAGCCAGGGTGAGGTCATTGTGCTGTAAACTGGGTGCTGGTATCAGGGCTCTGAGCCAAAGCTGCACAGCACAGAAGCACCCAGGATTACAAACAGGGCCAGAGCAACCCATTAGGCAACCAGGGCGCTAACATTTGGGGGGCGGCGACCGTGACGGTCGGATCTTCGGCCACCCTGGTTGTCGGTGGTATTTCGGGGGCAGGACCTTCCACCGCCACTGTCAGGGGTGGTATTTCGGGGGCGGGACCTTCCACCGCCTAGAGCGGCAAAAATGCTGGCGGCGCTCCTGATTACAAAGCAACCCCTTACTGGTCTGGATGAACCCCCAAAGCATCAGCTTCTACCAGTGTCTATCGGAGTTCCAAGAGATCAGCACCACTCAGGATCCAGACAGAGTCTCTAATAGACTGAGAAATGTCAAAACTTGTGGGATAAGGAACCCTTTACTAATCTGTCAGGGTCTTCAGTATTATGGCAATGACAGTCTTTGGCAGCTGAACAGATAACTTCTCTAAAGAAGATCAAATGAAAACTGTAGTTGTGTTATAAGTTGGATGAAGTTCAATTAAATTCCAGAGTAGGATAAAAACAAATGCCTGGTGCAAGTCTATAATGCTAATGGAAGTTATCTTTATACCATCAACCAGTTGGGGAATTTTATCAAGATCTTAGGTAAAAGATATGGAAACACTGTCTTCCACAGCTGTTCTTTAAAGCATCTATGGTATTTTCTTCCTCTTGCTGATCACTTATGGGCCAGCAGGAATTCTAACTGCATATAAAGCACATTTGTCTTCAAACAGGAAGATGTCAAAGAGGACAATTGTTGCTGGCACCAACTAGCATTTCTTTCAGAGTGGTAGCCATGTTAGTCTGCATCAGCAAAAACAATGAGGAGTCCTTGTGGCACCTTAGAGACTAACAAATTTATTTGGGCATGAGCTTTCGTGGGCTAGAGCCCACTTCATCAGATGCATGAAGTGAAAAATACAGGAGCAGGGATAAATACATGAAAAGATGGGGGCTGCTTTACCAAGTGTGAGGTCAGTCTAACGAGATAAATCAATTAACAGCAGGATACCAAGGGAGGAAAAATAACTTTTGAAGTGGTAAGAGAGTGGCCCATCACAGACATTTGACAAGAAGGTATGAGTAACAGTAGGGAGAAATTAGTAATAGGCTTAGAGTGCAGAGCAAAACATACAGCCCTAACATTCATTTCAATAGTATCATCAATTTTATGCTATGATTTCTATATGGACTACATTTGCATGAGACAGCAGATTATAATGTGGAGATTTTGTGACCTTACACTAGTTTAATTTATGACACTTTAATTCTTTTCTTAGCAGTATCTTTTCCAGGAATAAATACAGTAATCATAACAATAAAATAAATAATCAGTCATTTATTTGGATTGACATGCCCTATTGTTGTTTCTTCTTGCATAAGTAGTCATATCAACATGTCAAGTTCTATTGTTTCCTCTTTTTGCTCCAATAATAATAAAAATAAATTTTAAATAACTCTAATGCTGCCAACACCTCATCCCAGATGATATATGTATCACTTCCTGCATGCGTTCCTTAGATGGAGGAAAAGGCCCAGGAGAAAATGTGCTTGTCAGAGGGTGTCAAGTTCCAGGACCTACATAGAGATGCAGTCCTTTTGTGTGCAGTAAGTCAATTTTGACTAAGCACTCTGGCGCTCACATCTGGGTACATCCTGAGTCCACTGGGCTTGATATAATTCCACTCTGCTCCACACAAAGTGCTCATGCACTACATATGCTTCAAATTTACCCTTCATGAGGATTTATTGGTAACATAAACAAAAGCCATAAACCTCAGGCTAAGCTTTCTCCTGAGGTTGGCTAAGGCATGGCTGATGTTGATTTAATTTCATATCAATAGAGATTAAAACAAATCATATCAGGTTGATGAAAGTGAAGATTTTCTTTTTTGGTGATAGACCTAAGCATCTTTGTTTTTACATAAAAACAGAATAATAGAAACTGGAGATGGAGAAAGACCTTTTAAATTATCAAATCTCTCTCTCTGTGGAGACATAACTGTTCCCTATGGTACATTTTCCACTGTTCATATTGTCTAGTTTTAAAAGTCCTAAGTGATGAGACTCCTACCTCTTCCCCTTGGGAGATTATTCCACAGCTTGATACATCATAATCTCAAGAAATGTTTTTCCTTATATTTAGCCTAAAATTTCCTTTTCTTAGTTTCATCCCATTACTCATAGTTATAGTCCCCTGGTAGCATTCTACATAATTTCTCTTTGATGCTTAAAGCATTCAAAATATTCATAAACTTATGTCCTGTCTTAGCAAAGCTATTAGCTCTTTTAGCCTTTCTTCAGAATCAATCCTCCAGCCTCTAATATATTTTTTGTTGCTCTTCTCTGAACTGCCTGCTATTTGTTAATATCTTTCTGGTAATGTAATGCTCAGAACTGAATACAATGTTCAAGTACAGCTATACCATAACCATATGTTAAACAACTCTATTACTTCACTGCCTTATGATATGCTTTGCATATGTAGCCTAAATCTGCACTGGCTGTTTTGTATATCACTCTGCAAACTCATTTATTGTCCCCTATCACTCCAGTTTGTTTTCATCATTATTGCTTTCTAGGTTTCAGAGTAGCAGCCGTGTTAGTCTGTATCTGCAAAAAGAAGAACAGGAGTACTTGTGGCACCTTAGAGACTAACAAATTTATTAGAGCATAAGCTTTCGTGGACTACAGCCCACTTCTTCGGATGCTATATGCATCCGAAGAAGTGGGCTGT